TCCGCCCCTTTTATTATTGCAGTGATAAGCAGCGTTTTTTTTTTCATTATGCGAGTTTGACCGGCTCTACTTTTTGCTCCCGACGAGAGATGAGCTCAGAGTGAAAATTTAATATTCGGTTTCGTTATTTGCCGTTTGTTGAATTTGCATATAATTATCGCGCCGAGCGGTTGTTTCTGTCTTGAAGCAGCGAGAGACGCCGGGAAAGTGTGTTTGTACGTATGCTAATTACTTATTAGGGCTGTCAGCTGCCAGCGCAGCATCATTTTCGACTCCGCCGCTCCGTGACTAATGTGCTTATCGCGCGCTCGCGGCCTCCTGTGATATTTATTTTTGTCCAGATGCACTCGGGGCTTTGAACTTTGCGAGCAAATTAAGACTTTGGGCTAAAAAAGTCAAATATAAAACGTATAAATATCATCTGATATTTGAACGAAAAAAATAATAAATAAATTGATAAAAATGTGAGCCCTGTCAATTGGGATTTGGATAAATTGTATTATTTTGGCAGTTTCTATCTATAAAATCATTGTTTTAGAAAAATTTAGAATTTTGGTTAAAAAAAAAAAACAAGTTTAATTTTTAACGATTGTAACCTTTTTTTAAGATTGTTGTGAAATGAACAACGGATTTTATCGATGGAATTATCTTTTAATTATTCTAATATGTAACAATGTCTAATATCATAAAAATTATTTTTAAAAAAGTAGAGAATAAAAACAAAAAGATTTGTAAAGATTTTTTTCCGATACTGTTAATTGCTGATTTTTATTAAAAAAACCGCCAATATAAGAGATATGAAACTAGCAAATTAAACGTCAAACTTTTTGCTTGCAAAACAAGGCAAGGAAAATTTAAAACAAGGAAAATTTAAAAGTTTCCTCTTTAAAATAAATATTAATCAAAAATATTTCGGTCTTCATCAGCAAAATTTGTTTGTAGCACGATAAATAAATATTTGCTGCTCAAATTCCAAAAGAAAAATAAGTTTAAACGGTAAACTAAATGGCTGTTTTAATAATAATAAATTTAAAAATTTCACATTACTTTGTAGTTTTTTAACCAATATTTACTTCTTGAAATTGAAGTTCAGCACTTCATGGAAGGTTAATTAAGCTTGCAGAATAATAAACCCTGAAGAGAAACGTAAAAGTTCAACTTGAAAGAAAGAAAATGTGCCCTTGAGTAAACGGTAAAAATTTCATCATTCGCAAAATATGCGTTTAATTTGCGAATTACGCAAGTATTCTTTCTATTCAAGGCAATTCCATTTGGAAAAAAAAGTACAAAATGTGGCCGCCTCTAACAACGCACTAAAAATTTATCATCCGAGCACGAATTATTTTATTATTTAATCCGACGCGTTGCATCACCGTTTTTTCCTAATTCGCTCGCGAATAAAAAAAAACCGACGTAAACAAACTTTCTTTCTCCGACGTAAAAATAACAAAGACTCGTGCAAACGGTCCAATTCTAATTTGGGCGTGGAGCACACACAGCTGCGTGAAAATGCTCTCACGCAAAACAATGCCTCGTATTTTCAATTATAGCGCACGGCAGCGGTACCGATATTACTACCGCGTCAAAAAGTATAAAAAAGCGGAGGAAAAGGGTCGCTTGTGTAAATTTTTATGCGCCGTTGCGAAAAGCTGCAATAATTCACGACGCTCTCGAGAGCCGGTTATGGGAAAAGTGCCGATGGAATAATATTGCAAAGTCGAGTAGTAGTTTCATGTGAACCTCGCAGCATGCAAAACACTGTTATCTCCCTCGCAAGCGTGTTATCTGTCGGAATAAATCGCTCTCCGGATGCTGAAATTCGCTTCTGAGCAGCGTTCACATGCCGACGCCACGATTATTTGATTTCAAGTCATTTCGATCAAAATCTTTTGAATTGAAGTTTAAATGTCTGATTTTTTTTCATCGATGAGTAAATTTTTAACAATTCGCATCAGCTAGAGTGATTTTTATGATGTTTTAATAGCAAATTAACTTATTATTTGACACACATCTTAGGATTGCTTTGATTAAACTGAATTTTACAGCTTCTTGTGAGAATTTTCTAAAATATCTTTGCATAGGCCTGATTAAAATTATATAATTAATAAGAATTATAATAAAAACCACTTTTTTTTTACCTAATTTAAAAAAAAAATATACAAGGTAATTGATAATTTGGCCAACTTTATACAAAATAAAATTAGAGGTAAAGACTCCGAATTTCCTTACATTTGCTTTTCCAATTATGGTTAGTTGAATTAGAAAAAAAAAATTAATATTTTGACGTAAAATTACACTATCAAGGGTAAATTCATGGTGATTTGAATTTAAAATCGGCCTTTCCTCGATGAGTTGTATATTGTTTAAAAGGTTTAAATTAAAAACAACATCCTGCTCTACATGTTTCAGCTGCGGGCAAATAATTTTGACAAAAATCAATTTTTTTTTAAATATTTTTCTTTCAAATTATTAATTATAGGTGAAAAATTTTTAAAGCTGCATTTTTAAACACCACAAATTTGATAATTGAAATCAAAAATTTCCTAGCAAACTATTTTTATTTTTGTATTTTGGTCTGAAAATTGCAAAGATATTTTGGTTGGTTTTCAGGTAAAAACTTTTTTTGCGGAAATACATTTTAGTCCTTCATCGCCAATGCTGCCTGCATAATTTCCTTACTTTGTTAATTTTTGGTTCATTGAACTCACAAAACGCATTGCGGAAAAGCCAATTTTGAATTAAAATCACCATGATTAATATTTAATTCATTTCTATTCAACATAACGAGATTTTCAGATATAAACTATATTAAATTTTTCTCCAAAATTTCACAGGTTTTGAATTTCACTAATTGTCTCCTCAAATTACAAAACAAATTTTCTGACAAGGAGTTTCCTTTTTCCACGTCTCACCGTTTTTATTCTTCACAAACGCGAACAAGGAGCAAGTGCGGAGTGTTTTTTTTTTAGCATTTTTTTTCTGTCAGTTTGCATGCGTGCGTGGTGAAAAGTGTATGAATGACATTCGACACTTCTTGGCTTTGCAGGGGAGGCGAGTGAAACCCTAGACTGGCCCGCGGAGCAGCTCTCAATAGGCTTAACGCAAATGGCTAATAAGGCAGGACAAGAGCAACCACTTCTTCGCAACAAGACTTGCGTAATGCTTCGCGCCAAACAATGCCGTCGTCAAACCAGCCTTAGCGGTTCCAGTTTTCGCGAGAGCCACTTCAAGAGTTCGTTGTGGCCAAATACGGGGGCAAAAATATTTATGGCCAAAAGCGCCGGATTTCTTTAAATAAAGAAAAGTTCTATGCTGCTTTAAATTGAGTCTATCTTTACCAATTATTTTACTAGCAATTATATCTTCTATTTCGAGGTTTAAATATAAGTTGAAATTGAATTTTTCATAAATTTTTAGAAAATGTAAAATTTAATGAAGAAGATAATGAAAATTGAAAAATATTAATATATTTTTGATATTGTAATGTGATTGGATTCAAAATGTCACTTGATTTATAAATGTCAAATTTATTCTGAATAGTTAAACTATTTTTTTTTTCATAGAAATTCATAAGAAAGGAGTTTTAATACAAATGGAAACAAGTTCAAAAAAATATATTTAAAATGATTTATATTTTAAATAAATTATAAAAATAAATTGAATTCAATTAAAATTTACAATAAAATATTTTATATTTTATTGTTAAATACTTGGCTTTTTTGAATAGTTGCTACAATATTTTTTCGTAAAAGTCTACTTCGCAATTTAAAATAAATTACTTAAAATGCGATTTTTTTTGTACTTAAGTATTAGAAAATATTTTTATTACAAACCACTATTAAAATTCAATCACTTTGGAATGCTTTTGTTTTAATTGTCTCGAGAGAACAGTTATATTTAAAACCGTGGAAAGATGTAATTATCGTCACAAATGTTACAAGCAGAACATTCAAAGGGAAGTAAACATTAGGGGGCGATTGAGACATTTCCGAGAAAACCGCGTCTTTTCCTTTTACGGCTGAATATTGACAGAGGGCCGACCGCCTTTGATAGCCTTTTCCTTGTCCTTTCCATTTGATCCTCGCAACAGAATTTATATTTACATTTGTCACCCGTCGACACCGTCTGAGGTGAGAGAGAAACTGCTTCGGATTAGCTTGACTCGGCGAGATGAAATTTCAGAGCCGAGAGACAATTTGTTTTGAGATGATAACTTTTGGGGACGATAAGCTGATTATCAAATGTAACGAGTTTGTCAGACAAAAGCCGTTCGGAACAAAAATGACTTTGAAATCAATTGATAAAATAATTAAATTTGATGTTTTTTAGAAAATCAAAACTTTTAAATATTTTAAAATTTAAAAATATATAAAAAAATATTCAACTTTTTCCAATAACATATATTTCAATTTTTAAAATTACTTAGTTTATTCTCTCTCTTTAAATTTAATTAAATTTTTAAAATTATATTGATATTGAATCAGTTATTATTATTAATGATGAATTTGGATGGAAAATAAATAGGAATTAATGAAAATCGAAAAAATTATTTGCAATTAAGTTATTGAACTGATAAATTATTAATTTTAAATTTGATGCTCAAAAAGATCGTTACCGACCGGTCAATTTATTTTAAAAATTTCATCATCGAATTTAATATTCACTTGCCTAGAGTTGAATTAAATTTTTATTTTAAATTAATATTAAATGGAATTCAATTTCTAAAAAATTTCAGAGGCGCAAAACTCGTAAGGAAACAAAGGCTGGAAATCGCACGGAAATATTGCAAGTCGTGTCCCCTCGAGCGAAATGTGCCTGCACAAAAACGGAGGTCGGTGGTTTCGGCAGCGGTCACACCTGAGCATCACCTGTGTTGCGCGGGCCGACGTGTCCGAAGCGGCGCCAAACGCGTCCGCACCGTCGGCCCGGCATTTCTCGACACCCCGACCCGCCAGCCACCGAAATTCAAGACGAAGTTCCAGAAATATTCGCAAACTTACCGCAACGTCATGTGAAGCACGTCCGTTCGCTGCCCGTCCACAATCAAACATGGCGGTCTTAAATCTTAAACAAAAACACAACACATTCGTTGCGCTTTCCGCAATTTCGCGACGCCGCCGCCATCTGCCCGCCGACATCGGAAACAGCCAAGCCTTGCTTGGCGCTTTTGCTGACAAGCGGCGGCAACTTTAGACGTGTAATAGAAATATGAGAAACATTCTGATTACAATCAAAAATTAATTATATTCTACACTAGCTGCAAAAATAAATGAACTAATGTGATCAGCTGTTTTATAATATTAAATTGATTAAATGAAACAAAATATCTCTAAAAAATCAAATTATGCATATATATTATAATATTACAGCCTCCGTCGTTCAATTATTATGGAAGTTTTCCCAAATTATATCTGGATGATTATGAGGCTTCCTTCTTACTTCCCACACAATCAATTGAAATTTTTATATTTTTAAATCGTCATTTAACGATTAATAGACAAACAAATAAAAATGAAATGGGTAAACCAAAAGAATGGTTTTTACTACACATGTTTATGATTAATTATTTTAAATTAAATTGTATAATAAAACAAAGGACACATTTCTGTCAACATGATTTCTTTAATTTACAAGAATATGCTACATCTAGATAACATTTTCCATTTTTCCATCATTTTCAATGCGTCCTAATAAACTCTCACGTTAGCAATTTACATTTATATTTTATTAGAAAAATCATGAGAAAATCCTGCCGATCAAAATAATATATATATTAAAGAGTACAAATTTCAAGAGAGCAAATCAAAATTAACTGTATTTATTCTATTAAGTTGGACCAGTCTTTACATACATTATTATTAATTAGGGTATTATTATTATTAATTATTTTCATTTAATAAATACGCACATGAATGTTTTTCCTACCAGGGAAGTCTACGGTGAATTCACGCTCCACACACGCAAAACACTATTTTTATTTATCAAATATATTTACATACACAAACTTTTTACTGAGAGAGATATTAATGTGCAGCACACAGTGGAAGGTAAATATACCAAAAAAATCTTTACTTTGTGACAGATGTTTTTATTTTTTAATTAATAAATTTTTATTTCTAAATAAAAAGGATGAGAAAAATTCGTCTCAATTTGGAGCAAGCATTTATCCTTTTCGTTCAAATTTACTTCATATTGTTTTAATGATGCCAAACATCAAAATCTTGACATCAGTTTATCACTTAAACAACGACAGCAGCAAAAGCCTTATTTACACAACCTTAAGTATTTATATTCTGCACAGGTATTATTTGAGAGGTTTAATAAAATATTCTTGCACATCTGTTTTTGTTCTCGAGTTTATAAAAATTCCTCAGACCTTAGAAAGTCAACAAAATAAACCAAATTTTTTTCCAATTACAATAGATTTTTGAGACCCTTTTATTCTATTAAATATTTTAAATTTTCAAATGCTGAATTTAGTCAAAATAACCAAAAATTAATAAAAAAAGGATGACAGCACAGAATTTGCTCAAAATTGTGGATACTTTTTTTAAATCTAATCAAATACAAATTTTTTATAACAAGAGCACCATTAAAGAAATTTTGCACATCATTTACACGTACATTTTCCTACCACATATCCACTCTAATCAATATTTGGTAGTTGCACAAGCATAAAACTTACTTGAGAGAGAGGAGATATTGAATATTTTAAATATTTTTATGAGAGAGACAAAGTGACTTGTATGCTTTAAGGTACACTGAATCAAGATAATTAAGTACATGTTTATCTATGAGCTAATCAATTCACTGCTTTAATTGATCACAAGAGAGGAGAGTGTTTTTATTTATTCAGACGGAGGCCTCGTCAATGACTGTGATTGGCCTCTTGGGGGCGGCAGACAGGAGGCGCCAGTTGGCGCTTCGGAAGGGCGGAATTTCGCGCGACTTGCGCCGCTCCGTGGACGGTCCGACTGCCGCCCCTGCGAGGGGCGAGTTGGGGTTTGTGCTGCAGCCCTCGCCCTCGTCGACGAGCCCCATCGGCGGACGCGGCTCGTTGAACGGCGAGTTGTTGGACCGGTGCGGCCGCGCCAAAGACCACCGCCGGCCCTTTCTGTCCGTGATCACTGGCACCTCCGCGATCAGATTGTTCTCAAACTCACTCAACATTAGGTAATTCTCAACCTGCAGAAAAAGACAAATATAAATTTTAAACAATATTAAAATCAGCATAATTATTAATTTCAGGAATAGTTATTTAACTGTGAAAGAATCAATAACAACAATATTTATAAATTTAACAAGAATCTTGGTTGCTAACATAGAATTATGTTTCTTCAACCCAGAAATCAATCTAAAGAAGCGAAAATATTGTCTATAACTTTTATGTTTTAAAAAAAAACTGTTTTTTTATTATATAAATTTTTTACTTAAAATTTCCTATATTCGTAGTTTCAGCTTCCAATTTGATCAATTTTAATTTTTTTATGCACTTCTGGTGTTATTTTTATTACCACAATAACTTATTTGGAGTTGAAAATGGATTTTTGTAACTAGTGTTATTCTAACTCAACGCTGGTTCAAAATATACACAACTAAAATTATTTTTCTATGTTCTTCAAAGAAGGTTTCTCAAAATAATATCACTCAGGCTCATTTAAAATTGCGGACTGCATATCTATATAAAATTTTGGATGTGTCTCCCAGCTCTGTTTCTTGCCTTCAATTAAAATTAGCAACTTGCTTCTTTTTTTATTATATTTGTTAAATACAAAATTTATAAAATTATACACCAGTTTACTTTTCTTTTTAAAAAAATTCCTGCGATCTTAATTTCAGTCTTTTCTTAAATAATATTGTAATTTGAAAAAAAGGTATAATAATATCTCACTTTGTTGCAAGAAGTGATGCAGTCTCCTATATAATCCAGATCATCGAGCAAGTTGTCCGGCAGGTCCATGTCCGCGATGCCTTCCTCGCTGATGCAGGTCAACTCGGGCTTTTTCAAGTCCGTTGATCCCATGTTGGCTAAGGTTAGTGATCTGCAAAAGGGAATTGGTGTGTGAAAACTTGGCTGGCGTCCGACTTGGGTCGTTCACCTTTGGCCCAAGAGAGCGGCCGCCGCTGCAGCCGCCGCCGCCGCAGTCGCCGGCGCACCCGTTGACGACTGCAGCACTGCACCATTGTGGCCGTTGACGTCCTCGTCGGTGAACGACAACCTCCTGCCAGTTCTTCTGTAATTGCAATTTTTTTGTGTAAAACTAGGACAATATTTAATAAAGGCTTTGACTTAGAGAAATTTATTAATGAACTGACAAAGAAAACTACTCCCTCTTATTAAACTTCTCTCAAAATCAGCTGAATTTTCTCCACTTTCATCAACTTTTTATTTTATATTTTTGGAAAATTTCCTTTGTTAGAAATGATTGTTTTACTCAGTTTTACATTAATCGTGCGTAATGATTCAATCTCCCCCTTTTAATTTTGTTTTTAAATAAATGCGTCAAATACAATTTTTCAATTTGAAAAACTGCAGGAGAGATTAAGCCTATTTCTCCGTAATGTAAATTTTTTGACTCAGATGCTTTGACTTGTTGTGGAGAAATAAAATGAATTGAATTAGAGATTTTTCCAGGGTCACCATCAACAACGAGAGCAATTAAATTTTTGTGCTGAAAGATAATACCAGTTTGTTTTAGGTTATTATCTCCCATTCATAATTCCACACGGAGGCAATTTTCTAATTGTAAGAGCCACAATTAACATCTAAATTACAGTAGCAAAAAGGCTTTCTCATTAAATCGACAAACAATATATTGGTTGGCGCCGACCATCATCATACCTGTCAGGGCAGTTTTCAATGATGCAGGTGTGCTGCTTGCCGTTGGCGGCGATGTGTTTGTGCTTGGCCACCCGCCGCCGGTGCACGTCGATCAGCGACAGCGCCGCGCTGCCGATCAACACGCACGTCGAGCTGAAGTAGTAGCCGGCCTTTCCGCCGTACCCCTCGTTGATGTAGCCTGCGCGAATTAATAAAAATTAAGTCAAGTGTATAAAGCTAAGCTCGTCAGGTCACCTGTGATCGGCACTCCGAAGGCGATGGGCAGCGCCTGCGAGCACTGCACGAAACCCCAGGTGCGCGCAAAGTTGCGCGCCCGCACCCTTTCGTAAGTGTACATTTTCAGGGAGTAGTGGTAACCACCGCAGAAAATACCGTAAACCTGTTTGACAAATAAAATTGAGAATTAAATTTCACAAATAAATCAACGTTAATGTTGTAATCTTAAGAGTTACACAAAAATTCTAGGGTTATTAATGCAAAAAGTCATGTTCGGGCAACAATAAATTTGCAGATTGGTTAATTCAAGAACTTGCCGTTCAGGAATAGTAATTGCCATTGTTGAATCAAGTGTTTGCAACAATCATGATTAAAATTTTCAAGTCTCCAATAATCACAGAAAAGAAATGTTTTCTTTTGTTTTCAAGACTTGACTTCACTTGGTGCCAACAAGGAATTTTTGAACAATCTGAAATAAAAAGCATTTCCTGCTCATGTTGAAGAAGCTGGGGGCTCAAGATAAAAAAATTCTACTTGAAAAATTCATACTTTTTAAATACTTAAAACCAAATTTCATTATTGCCATAATATGTCATGTTTCATATTATGAATTATAATAGAAAATACATTTAAAATATTTTCCGCCTTTTTTACACAACGCAATAATGTTTTGATATCTTTGGTCTTATGTGTTAACTGCTCGAAGTGATTTAGGCAACCTGCTTGACAAAAGTGACAAGCATATAGTTCGCAGGAATATACATACATATAACTTTACCAATGAATCAATATTTAAAAAGCTTGAAATGGATGACTAATATTAATTCATAGAATTCAATTGGAATTTTGGCATATATATGTTGAAACTAATTGATTAATTTATTTACATACATAATTATTATCTAATTGTTATCAGTATAGTGGAAAAGTGGGAAGTTAAAATCCTACGAGAAGAACTTTGCAATTTTAAAATTAAAAATATGTACATGACAAAACTTTTAAATATTTATTTTATATAATTTAATTGTAATATAAATATTTATTTATTCAAATAAAGCGTTTCCAATTTCATTGCGCTTTAAGCATAATATCATTAAATAAAATTTTAATTATTTTATGTTTAAAATTAGAATTAGTAAATAAAAAAATATTAAATACCTAAAACCAGTAAAGTTTTAAAAATTTTTTTAATTGATTTACTTAAAGAAAATATACTTACCCAAACAAAAAGTAAATATCCCCTGTAGCCCTGGACAGCGGTGAGTGCCAGGATGGCGATGCCGCACACAAAAGTGCACGCCTGGCAGAGGTACTGCCTGGCGATTCTGCACTCGGCGCTGTTCCTCACCACCAACATGCCGAAAGCCCCACAACCGATGACCCAGGCTAGACCCAAGTACGCCTGGAGAGAAACTGTGGCGTCGCCGAGACCCTCTTTTTCGGCCTGGTGCGCCTGCAAGTGATGTTTTCCCTTAATTAATTAAATTCACCCCCTATTGTGCAACACCGTACCATGTAGAAGATTGGAGTGGACATCCCCGTGGCACTGATGGCCGTGGAAAAGAGCAGGATGCGCACCGTTTTGCTCCTGAGGGTGGTGAGATCAAAGAAGGGCGGGCCGTCGTCAACCTTGTTCTTGTCTTTGATCTTGCGCTTCTGGTTCTTCAGGTGCAGAATCGCGCGTCTTTGGGGGTGATAAAGAGAGGCGGACCTGTAGAAGGTCCCGAGGAAGAAGGTGAGGAACACGGTTACCGTGACGGCTTGCAATCCCAGCCGCCAACCAATTGACCTGATAAAATGGAAAAGCACATTTGTAATTCAAATGAAATTAAATTTTTAAATATGATAAGAAGTTCATATAGTTTGTAAATGGGTCTCTAGTAGGAAAAATTAGATCCAGTGGGTACTTAATGGCTTTTCAAATGATAATTATATAATATGACAGAAAATAAGGTTGACAAATTGCATCAAACTCTCATTTTTTTATTCTTAAGTTAAACTAAATTGGAACCTTGTGCAAATATTTAAATTATTTGATAGGAGTTTATACAAATAAAATAAAACGGTCAGTAAACAAAAAATATAAGAAATTTTTAAATATAGATTCCATTTTAACATTTGAATTACTTAAAAATATGATTTCAAAAATATTTCATCAAATAAAGAAATAAATTTTATTTTTAAAAATTATAAACGGCTAAAGTTTTAATAACGTTATTAAGTTTTATAAAAGATTTTAAACGTACTAAAAAGACTATTTTATAATTATATGTTTAAATTTGGAACGATTATTCTGCAGTAAAATGATGACTTACCCGATGGCTCCCTTAATGAAAGCGGACATGATGGCCAGACCAAGACCACTTCCCGCCACAATAAAGATCTCGACGAGCTCTCTTTTGCGTTTGAAGTACTGGGCGACCATTAGCGTGCTCGTGTCCCGCGTCATGCCAACGCCAACACCTGTGGATTTATTTCAAGTGATAAAACTACTCCGAATGTGCTCGCGCACTGCACGTACATATATGAAAAAGTACGTGAGTGTTAAAAGAGAGCAGGCGTTTATGGCTCTGATTCACGGAGGAAAAGCCGCGTGCCGAGTTTATTTGAAACTGCGACTGCCAAGGCAGTAAAAATGTGTATGACTCTATGACAAATAATACACAGTACGTACCGTGTTTGAAAAGCGGTAAATGCACAGAGAGTGATACCATAACTTTTATGCGACGTTAAGAGAGATATTAAAGAATAAAAAGGTAATGTTCTCCATTATTAACTTCACGCCTTCATTTCTTCTTGAACTTATTTAATATTAAAAATCAATAAATCAATAATATACAATCTCAAAGCTTAGTTATCGGATTTCGAGAATAATAAAAAAAATTCTGTAACATTAATTTTGTCAAAATGTCTGAATCTGAAAAAGAATTTGCCATGAAAATTCCACTTAAAAAATCAGGAAATAAAAAAAAATTGCATTATTTTTAAAATTCAAGTAAAGCTTTTTTTTTGATATTATAAAAACTTGTGGGTATATGGAGCATTAACTTGTCTGCACTGGGCTTTAAAAACTAAAAAAATTAGACAAACCTAACAGTTAATTTAAGTTAACACCCCAATTAACATTTTATAATCTTATTTTCAAAATTACAGACTTATTTGAATTTTTACTTACCTATTACAGCCCCGTAGCTAAAAAAGAGTTGATGAAACTGGGTGGCGAACGAGGTGAAAAGACACCCCAGGGCCGTCACAAGTCCCCCGAGCACGGCAGTGACCCTGGTGCTCTTCCGCCGGCAGAATGAAATCGTCACCGGCGACACAAACAGAGCCACTGCAGTTGACATCGCGCCGACCCAACCTGAAAGCAGAAAAGGAAACAATTCATTAGACTGTCCAAAATGTACAACAAAGGTTTAATTCAAGAAGAAAAGGTGAGCTAGAGAGTTTTCTAGAAACAAATTGAAAAGGTTCATCTAAAGTTGGACAGTTCTAAAGATCAAAAAATGCGTTGTGATTCTGCAAAATTATTTTTTATCAAAAATATTTTTTTGTATGTGAAGCATTCTCAACTTTGAAATTCAATATTTTGAAAGTTTTCAAAGTTAAAAAAAAGTTGACTTTGAAACAGCATCAGTCATCACAATTCGCATTTTTTGTTCTTAAAGTATAATTTCTTTTATTTTTCAATTTTCTAAGACAGAAAATTTGAAAATTCAGATGGTCGTATGGATAAGTGCACTTTTTGCTTGCGCTATTTTTTACTATCTCCTAGACAACGGGTGTCGTGTTTTTGTGGACCTGCTGCATAGTCATTAATTTTCATCCGTCAAAGTGTGTACATTTGCATTTATTATCTGAGCACACAAAAGCTCTGCGAAGACAAAAAGCTAGCCGATGGGAGAATAATAATGGACATAGATTCTAATGTGAGATTAATGGACCGGGAATTAATTAGCGCTCGGCCGGGTGGCCGAGTTCGTTTTGTTAATTAGTACGAGGCGGTGTCGATAACAATTTTATTAATTAATATTCGCCAGCGAACGGTGCAATATATTACACGAGAGAGAAGAAAGCTCCAAATTGGGAATCCTTTCTTATCTGCGAGCAAGAAATACTGCTTTGGACACGGGCCAAAATTTGCTTCACGTTGAAGAATGCCTTTTCATAAAGGAATGCAAATTTAATCGGCGGAAAATCGACCTGGAGATAAATTATGCTGTTTTCGGTTTCGTAAATCCCTTCGATCTTGAGACAAAAAATAATGAAATAAACCCAGACCAAAAGTTTATTGATCGATTTGGGGCTTTTTCTCTTTATATTTTAAGAAGTGAATTAGGCGCCCACTTTGGTCCTAACGAGGCGGAAACTTTATTTTCTGGCACGCGGATAAAGGCACCGCGCTTCAATAATAGATGGGTGCAGATGTCATTTTCCATCCCACTGGCACCGATCCACTGCAGCTGTTATCATTCAACCCGCGTTCACTTTTGACGACCAACACGAGTCGCTCATTTCGTCCCTATAGGCGTCAAAAAGTGGAGCATGATTTTAAAACGGTAATGACATTTACGGACAGCCTGTAAAAACTTTTAATTATAAAAAATGTTAATGGGATTTCAATGTTAAGTTAATTCAAAAAGATATTAAAATATTAATGAGAAAAAAAATGGAATTCCTAAATATTTTAAAGTTAATTAATTTAATGATAAAGTTTTTTAAACTTGGTGTTGATCATTTGAAAAAAAATCGCTTTACATACAAATTTTAGCTGAAAAATCTTTTTGAAATACTTTAAAAATGATTTTTCAAAAGAATATTGAAAATTTAAAAAAGAAACTGGAATACACTTAACGACGCAAACACGACACAACTCTACACTACAAATTTACAAAAAACCACATTCACAAATTAACAACATTAAAAAGGATAGATAATTCTTCATAATAATGATATTATCATAAGAAAATTTCACAAATTCAAATCAATTAAGGAATTGAACCAAAATTTTTTAATTGCGTAATAATAAGAAACTGTTGAAAATATTTGGCATGATTTTTTTCTACAATTCCATAAATCCATAATTCCAAAGTCAAAGAATCATCTACATTCTGATAATCTCTCGCACGGGTATAAACAAGCGCGCTGATTCTTCATTTACAAAGTATTGAGTGTCACTTATTTTCAACATGACATCCACCCACATAGCCAAGTTTTAATAAAACTCTGCTTTGCCTGAACTCAAACTAATGAGCTTCATTCCAGGTACACTATTTTGAGCGTTCTCGATTACACTCAACTTTTCAGGTCACAGGTCACAACTTCATGAAGCTCTCTTTGTTCGCAAAGCGGAATCCGCCGCTCTAATGAAGTAACGCAGCTCGTAAACATTTTTCCTCTGATGGAATTAACGAGGGAATCGACTGGAGAGTCTTACATGCTGTGAGCGAATAACTCCGGATTGATAGAGTTGCCTGAAATAATAAACTTTTTTACAAATTTATTGCGTGATTATTTTCGCGATCGACCCTATTGCCGATCGAGCCAATTCTGACGAGCTCGTGACTTATTTTGATTTTATTACTTTGAACGAAACTATCCAGCTGCAATTTAATCCAAGAGAGAGAAGTATGCGGCGCATTATTAAAATTTATTGGATAATTTAACTGACTGGGAGAGCTGCAAACTTGTTTATTTTCTTTGCGTCTGGAAACAAGATTATATTTTATTTTTACCTCTGCGAAAAATTACACGCAACACACTTAATTTTCTGCTCATGAGAGAGAACGAAATCCATTAGGCCTGAGACATTTTAATCAGCCCCGTTGTACGCAAGAATAATAAGTAATGAGCAAATCGAGTATAAGTTAATTCGGCTCTCGCTTATCATCTGCCCGGCCTCTGCACAGTTGTAATTAAAAATCCATTTGCTTGCCCAACTGCGATACAAAGGGTCCGCTATTGTCGAGATGCGGAGTCGTGATTTGCATTTTGGAGCGAAGCAAAAGTAGTCGTTATTAGTTTACGCAGAGGTTCGTTTCATTACCCACTATCGCAGAGTGATTTAAACTGGTTTAGATCATTTGCAAAAATTGTTTAAAAAATACATTAGGAAGAAGTAATGAAAATAGCAAAACTTATTTTAGTTGCAATTAAATATTTTATGCTAGAGCGATAAATTTGAACATTAAATTATAATAAATTTAAATACATAACATTAAAAATAATAATAAAATGAAATGTATTTTTAAGGTTTTCCTCAATCGCGAAATAAAAAATCAAAAAAAGTAATTTCTATTATTAATTTTTTAATAATTTAATTTTTAAATGCATATATTAAAAAGAAGAATTATTTACTCATGTGTATGTAAACGACATAATAATGTTAAATTAATTTTTTTAATTAATTAAAAAAAAACATAAATATTATCACGTTAGAAGAAATTACATTGTGAAATTTTTATTAAAAATCATCTGAAACTCTTTGGATTGTCCAATTTTGGATATAATACTATGTTGATTGATTATCCTGTTATGATAAAATAAAAAATAATAGCGAAATGTAATGTCATAAATTTGTGATAACCCCACCATAAGTAAAAATTTAAATGAATTTTAATTGTTAATGATATTCAAAAATATTTTTTAGCAGAATTAAATTATTTTGTGCAGAGAGGATGCGCAGAGAGATTGGGAGGGAGGAACGTATCGCACTTAGCTCACCAAGCGTGGCAAAACTTGGCCAGACTCACAACTAGTTTTTTTTTTTACAGAAGCCATTTCTGCATACATTTCAACGTGGAGTGTTTGCTTTCTTTTTCAAGTGCGCGCATAAGAGACGAATAATAGGGAACAGGGACGTGCAAAAACCGCAAGAGCAAGCAGAGAGTTCACCAACGCTTCTCACGAATCAATTTTTGTAACCACCCGTAGACATCTTTCTTGCTCATCTAAATTCAGATGTTTATGAAGAAAATTGGTTTTCTGAGACTGTAAAAAAGTTTAGCATTGAAACAACAAACCATTTGAAATTCAATCTCTATCTAAGAAAGATATTCTGGTTGTTTTTTGACACAAAAATTTCAATTTTAGGTACAAATATTTAAGCAAATCTAATGTGATTTTAATTAATTTTTATGGTTCATTTCTCGTGAAAAATGTGATTTGAGAAAATAAAGTCAAGAAGAAAAATTGATGGTAGAAGAGAAAAAGATTTCAATTTGGTCAAAAGTTCTTGAAAGCAGAAAAAAATACTTAACTCAGTCACAAATTATTCAGCAAAAAGAAAGTTTTGGAGAATTTCCTGATAAATAAAAACAGAAATTACTTTTGTCTATTTTATTTTAAATTGGTTATATAAGTAATCAAACTTAATTCAAAGTTTTAACAATTTTAATTCGCAAGAAATGGATTTGCGAGACGAGGATTACCCCTTTCGCTTCACCGCCGGCGTGTCTGCGCGTCTGGCCAGTCAAAAAGTTGAGCCAGGAATAACAAATCGGTTCTTTGGTGTGCGACGCAATTTTGCTATTGTGGACCGACGGGGTTGAAATATGAAGCGGGGCATAAATAATCTCACTCACGTTGGGGAAAAAAAGCAGGGGCTGCTTTTAGCAAGCGGTGCGGTGGCCCAATCACATTAAGTATAAGAAAAAGGACGAGAACGATCTCGGTCGGCCGTTGCAACATCATCTTGAAAGCAGTGTAATTGCCTCGGCTGCGTATCTGCAGTTTTTAGAACGATGACTTACGAGCTCCCTCGGCTAACTAGCGCGCTCTCTCGAATCTTCTCTTTTTATTGTTTTTTGGAGTGGTTCGTTGCGGAACATATAGGCTGATGAGATAAAACTACTAACCACCCCTTTCAAACGTGCGATGGAAGAGAAAAAAAAATAGAACAAGTGGCTCGGAGGATTTTCGGGAAATTCAGCTGTTGGTTTTCAATTTTGCAAAATGAAGATTGTTGATATTCTTTTTTAGACCCAGATTATAATTCAGATTAAATTCAGAGTTGCGTTTAAATAAAATTGAGATTTAACTTAAAATAAGATCCAAAATATGTTTGAAATTTGTTTTTAAAGAAATTATACTGTAAACAAATTTTTATTATATCATTTGAATAATTTCCTAAAACAATGTTTAATTTTGTTAAAATATAGAAATACAGAATAAAAAAATTAATAAACCTTAAGACAAATTTACCATGGTTCCCACCATATTTTAAATAAAATTTTCATGCTGAGCTATTGCAGAGCCTAGAATTGCTATCATTGTTTATCGATTAATTTGCACTCTTCTGAAAACCGCAGCCCTAATCAAGACCAATTTTCAGTCAATATTAGAAGCTTCTCAACTGTGCCG